ATTCCAGTAGCAGTAACAAAGTTCCAAAATTCTTCCCCCTGCCCAAGTGGTTTTGTATTGCTGTGACTTTACCTATGCACAATTTAAGATCGGTATCCTGGCTGGAATCTAGCAGTTTCCTCAAAAATCAGTTCTTTCAGCTTTTCCTTCGGCAAGTCATCCAACTCCATATCAAACTTGAAGGGTGCTTCAGCAACAGGCTTAATAATATAAAGAAACATTATTACTTTTTTTAATATTACTGTTCTGTTGAATTTCATGTAGTCCTTGTATGGGAGAAAAAAAACTCTGTGTGCTTCACAATAATATCTAATGCTGTGCAGTCTTCAAGGAAGAACTCATTCTACTAGTCCTTTGTGTGCTTTATACATTAGTTTAACAAATTTTAAATCAAGCCGTAGTAAATAGCTAATCAAATCTAAACCACAAGTTAAAATATTTATTAAAGGCTCATAACTTAGTATCTACCTGAAGAAAAATTATCTGAAACATTTCTATTTCTCAGAGTAAACATATCTTCCCTTAAGGAAAACTAGCTTATTTCCCTCCCCCAGTCCTTCACCAAAAGTAACCTGAAATCTCATCAGAATTGTATAATAAACTACAGTTTATTATATATAAACTATAATATACTACTATACTATACTATAGTACACTACAGAACTATAATAAACTACAGTAAATTATAGTTCAGATTCGGGGGTTTTAAATGTATAATCTGATGGCAAACTCAGTTGTTCTCCTCCTTTATCTCAGACGTTATGAAACATGACCACAGGGAGCTCAGAAGCTCTATTTTCAGGAGAGTACACCTTAGCATCTATTTATTGTGTTGCACCTCCAAAATGTTATACTAGAACAAGAAATACAAAATTGTGGCAAATTGATGCAATTCATTCCTCAACTCCATTAGAGCAGTAGAAACACTGTCCTTAAACTAATGAAGAAAATAAGCTGTTGCATCATTTAATCAACATTTACATTTTAACAGTGTCTTTACCTCATCACTTGGATCATAATACTGCTCCAGATATGGATGGGCTAAAGCTTGCTCCACTTCAATCCGCTTATGAGGATTAAAGGTCAACATTTTATCCAACAAATCAAGTGCTGAGAGGAAAAAAGTGAGCAAGAGTTTACTATACACTCCAAAGTACAAAGGTGTTATAAACACTGATATTACAGAGAAAATACATGCTCCTCTAAGTTTTGTCCTAATTTCAGTTGACAGCTGGAATTCCCCAGTTGTAGCAGCAGTAACAGCAGCAGCAGATCGCTGCCTTTAACTTGGGCAGAGCATCTTCGTCAGCCCATCTCATCGGCA